CAAAAGGTCTGTTAGTCTCTGTAGCTCTGCTCTTAAGTGTGAAGTGGTTCCTTTTCAGAATGGCTGAGGATTTCAATCTGATGTTATAGCAGTCACTTTCTACTTGTACAGATGTTTAGGTTATTCTCTATGCATATACTGATCTTACCTTTGATTTTAGGATTTGTTAAGTCAAAAGCTCTGGGTAAGGTGTATTGCATATCTGACAAGCTAAGGGCAACTAATCAAAGGTCATGTGTCTGTTGCTTGGAAACAAGAAAATCTGCAGGCTTCCTGGACATCCTTGACCACAATGGTACTAGTCTACCTAAACTTTAGTTGACTTATCCATGATGAGCTATTGGTCCATGAGAAGCTTACTAGGTAAAATATAGTTCGAATTTTAGGAAAGGAGATCAGACCCTACAAAGAGGAATAGTAACAATAGATTAGCGGAAAAATACATAAAGTAAGAGGAAAGAGCTAAAATCTGAGGTTTAATCATTGTCATCCTTTCTATTTTGAAGATAAGGAATAAAACAAAACAAAACACCCTAAGCTGCTGTCCCGGAACTTTCCTTAGGCAAGAGGATAAGCAGAATCAAAGAATGAAATGAACTCCTAATCCTTTTTAGGTATTAACAATAGGTGTGGGCCCAGGCTGCCCTAGAAAGGGTCCTGGCAGATTAACAGAAGTATCTATCACAAATATTTAGCTTACTTTGCTCCAAATACCTATTTGAGAAAATCTACCTCAATAATTTTACCTTATCCCTGGCGATACAGGATGGGCACTGAAGGAACCTGTATAATAAGGATGAAAGAAATTCAAATAAAAATACATATATTTAGAGTCAGATGCAAAAACAGTTAGAAAACTGACTACAGATCCTCTACTCTGGTTCAATAATAGGATCTTTTAGTGGAACATGTAGCAGCCAAGGTTTCTCAACCAGCCAGATATGGAAGTTTTGGGGAGGGCCCTTCCCCTAATTTTTTCTGTTTTGCTTTTCTTATTATTTTGTCATATGCTATTGGCATGGGCCAATAATACACTGGAGACTTTAGATTTAAAACATTCATCTTCATTGATGAGCTGATACTGTGAAATGAAGGAAAATATCAAACATCTATCTTAGTAAATCAAGCATAGCATCTGAAGTGAGAATAACTTTTGCCTAACTTATAAGTCACTGAAGGTAAAGCTTCTCATGAAAGCTCTCCTTGGAGGTGGGGGGTGACAAAATGAGTACTCAGGGGTAAGTGTTCCAGTCGCACATGTTTGTGGAATGCATCGTCACTACACTTATCCCTTTCATCATTTTTCTTTTAAGTTCTTTTTACCTCCCAGCATGAAAGAAAAAAATTATCTTTCCTTTATTGCTTCACTTAGAAAAGTAAATTAGGTAAAACTATTCTAAGTGAAAATTTATAAAATTAAAACTAAAGTAGCAAAAATAATAATTAAAGAAAAAAAGAGGATTGGTGATAGATTATATCCTTGGAAGACAACTAAACCCAAAAACCAGCTAGAAGCTGACAGTATGCAGACTGACTACTCAGTCTGAAGGCTTGTTTTCATAGCAGTTGTTACTGACCTAATAATTACGAGAAGTTAGGCAGAAAGAAGCCACTTGATTTTCAAGCCCCATGTGGTGCTTGGTCAGAAGCTTCCGGTTTAAGTATAGAATGTCTATTAGTTACTCTTCCTCCCCATTTAGTCTCTTACTGAGCTATAAATGCAATTACACTAGTGTCTACTGATCTCCAATTCCTATGTTAGGCTCTTACCAATAAACAGCCAAAGGGAAGTAGAAAATGGAAAAGGAGAATAGTAGCATGTATTCAAAACATTTAAGATTCTGCCAGTTATTTTATAATGTACAAATAGCTTTGTAGGTTGAAAATCCTACCCATTTAATGCACATGCTTGTTACATAGCTAATGAAACTAAAATTTGGTGTACCATCTGGCTTGTTATGATTATAACAGTAGATCTGCAGTTCAGGAATGACTATATGAAAGTAATGATATAAGAGTATTTTTAATAAACATGTAAGAATTTCCACATTCAGTTGAAAGATACTCTTTTTAAAGTAGTCATCAAGAGAAACTGTATATTTCTTATAAAACTGTTGCCACTGCTCAAAACATTTTGGTAATATCTCCTTTAAAACCAACCAGGAGACCATTAATGAAACTTATCATTACTTCAGGTTATTTAAAAATTAGAATTTTACTGCCTAAAGAAAAAGATTTGATTCTTATCTCTAGTTTTAATGTAACATTCAGTTTATAAATAATAGCAGTTATGTGAATTACTGATACTGTAGTGTATGATTTTCAAATGTCACAAAACGGTAGGTATGTGGCTAAATTTAATGCAAAAATGTGTTCTGGTTTAGTAACATTGTAAAATGATGAAACTTCACATAAGAAATATGGAGTCTTGGCTTCTACTGGAAATTAAAACTGAAAGATTTAGAAACACTGGCAGATATTTCCTGATAGTAAATATTAGTGGGAACTGAACCAAAGTGATCATGTTAGAAGAGGAAATGTATTTTCACTTTAGTTCCTGCTTACACAATATTCGCAGACACACTGACATCAGGGGGACTTGACTCATTGTGATAAGTCAATCAGCATACAGGTAAAACTATGCTGGCATTTGGGGTGGCCAAATATTCCAACTTACCTCATCACTAGAGTATTACCTATTCTTGCATTGTTGAACTTTGGAGTGGCCTTAGGGTTTGTTAATATGTAGATGGAAATGAAATATATCATTTTAGGGCAGAAGCTTATGAATTAGCATGCAGTTCATGACATCTGGACATTTAGCTACAAGGCAATATTGCAGACAGAGGTTTCCCCATCACTCTTGGCCCTGACGAAAAAACAATGAAAAGCAGAATCACAGTCCATAACAAATGGGCAGCATGACTGAAATAAATCTGTTGTAATCTGTGTGATTTGGGGACATTCTGTTAGTACGACATAACCTAGCCTATCCTGACTCACGTATAGGCAATTAAATTACCTCCCTGGCCCTTGTAAGCAACTGAGTTTGTGACCTATGCTTTTCCTATGTTCTCTAATTTTTAGAATGTAAAAACTGAAGCTCAATAGAGTTAAATAATTTTTTCAGAGATAATGAAGTCATTCTCTGCATACAGGAGTAACTCCAAAGTCTATGCACTTACTTTAATTCCTTACTCACCTACAGCATAATAAGACCAGAACATTTTTGCCATTACTTCTATTTCTCACATACTGTAAATAAAATGGTTTTGAGACTTACTAGTGTCTGAAATACCTAATCAAAGTAGTTAACAAAGATGTTGCTAAAATACAATAATAAATTTTTTGACACATTTCTCTAGAAATCATGTAAAATACACATTAAAATATAATTCTGTAGTCTTTCATTTGGTATCGTAAACATATTCTGTACCACCTTAAAAAAATTTTGAAATATTTATTTTGCATACAACTCAGATATTTATTAATATTAAAAAAACTCAAACTCAAAGTAATAAATTTGGCTTCTTTTCCCTGCAGAAATGGGAAATACATTTTGGTAAAGAAACATTAAAATTTTGTTTACACATCAGTTGGTTGTTGGGATTTGTAATTACAGTGGGGGAAAAAATTAGAGAAAAACAAAAGAACAAAAAAAAAACCCCATTAACTAACTTGTATATAAGTTAACAATAAATATGGTAAACAAGAAATAAACTGATCAGAAAACACCCCACTTTAAAGTAATTTCAAACAGATTTCTACTACAGTGGTTTATTCCCAACAAGTCTGAGCCCATTAAAAGCACTTCTATACATACAAAGACATAACAAAATGATACAATATTTATTGCAACAACAAAATTAAAGGTTGCCATAATATATGTAGCTTAAATACCCCCCCATTGATAATGTGGCTTCTTATTCCTTAAATGTAGAAATTCTGCTCCTCATTGTAGAAAGATGAAGTCCTCTCATCAAAAGGCACATTCTTATCTGCAACAACAGCAAAAAATACTATAAATGCTCATCCTGAAAGAAACTTAAACACATTTAAAAATATTCCCAAAGATCTGGAGTGGCAGGAAGATAATGAAAGTATTTAATCTAAGTGAATTATAATGAATGGCACCAATAAAACATGATTAGCGTGTCTATATTAATTATATCACATACTACCATTTGAATTATAATTCTAATTTTTCAAAAGCGGTTTTTATATATAACTAGTGTGGGTAATTAAAAACTATTCCATAGTCCTATTAAAGTTATACCTTCATATAATATTCATAAGTGGCTTTCAGTAACTTAAGTATACAATATAATAATTTTTTTCTATAGTTTCTGTAAATGCAATTCTTAACTAATCCTATTTCTAAACATTCAGAAATGATTAATATAAGCTGCAAGTCTGGAAGTACACTTTTTGAAATATAACACAGTTACCAAATGTATCCATACAGAAGACAAGGTTTTCCATAAACATAGATAATGGGGTAAGTTTGCCCATTTTCTTATTTTTATATATTATTTATTATATTTTATATTACTAGTTTATGGTGACATGAGATATTTTCATCACATATTTTTATAGACCTTTATTCTAATTATACATCATGCTTTATTGTTAATCCAACCATAGCTTCCAAGAAACTTCTGCTAATAAGAGCCAATACAACCAAAAGCATTTAATCAAACTAAAATAGCCAAAGGTGTGTAAATTTTACTAAATATGTCTTCATTTATAATTATCATTAACAGTCAGAACTTCATTAGAGATATGTATGAGAATGAATACTTTCTTCCAACTTATTGTTTTATCAAAAATCTTTAGTAAGCAATCTACAATAGATCTCTGTGTGATTACTCGATTATTGTAAGCTAATGAGATTCTAACATATTTTAACTGGAGGGTAAACTCAAGCTTTTTAAAAAAGATGTTGAAGATTATTAAAAACAATGTTAACATTCTTCATTTTACACACTTGTCCTTTGCCAGCTTGAAACTCTTGATCATTTTGATAATGGATTTGTGAGTTATGAAAAAAAATTCATCAGTAAAATCAAAATTGCAGTTTCATTTGGCAAAGTAAGAATACCTAATCCCACTTCTATCACTAAATAGCCTTTTGAACTTGGACAACTTATGAAAACCTAAGGAACATTTAGCAATAGCACTGTCAGATTTGTGACTAAGAAATACCTAGTACATAATTTTTTAATGCCTGGTTTCACAAATGCATTTTAAGATTCATAATCAGCCTTAAAACATATGGAAATATGCATACCTATCTATACCTGTCTTTTACATATGTTAAACATTTTTTTTAACCTATTCATATTTTCCAGATTCTACAACCTGTTCTACTTATTGTATTCTTTGAGCAGGGATTTCCTCAGAATTCCATCCCAAATGTTTTCATCCTAACACCTACTATGTGCTGTGTAGAACCACCATTCCCGGATCTCTCCTTGGCATGACTAAACTCCAGAACAAACAATACTGAAGAAGAAATTTTTCTCTACATGTCCTATAGGACATCATTTTCCAGCCTTACACCTGGTCTTCCACTGTATTTTCTTAACTCAAATAATGATAAACACTGTCTACCTAGTCACCATTCCAGTGGGAGCAGTGAGATCCTCTCTGACTATTTCTCATGTTCTACATTCTGCTGAATACTACTACACTGTCAAAGTTTTTTATTTCTTTCCCTTTCTAAACCCTACTTTTTACTTTTGCTTTGAGACCTCTCAACTGAACAACTGAAGTAACTTCAAAACATTAAAACTTAGTTTCTTCCCAACTCTAAATTTATCTTTCATAAGGTTAAATCATCTTCCTAGAACATAAATCTCATGGCATCACTCTTTCACTCCAAAGCATTTGGTTTCTGCACATTTTCAAAAATAGAAATCCAAACCTTTAGTATGTTTCTTTAACACATCCATCTCAACTTGGTCCCAAGCCTGACTGATTTTCTATGAACCTAGTACATATCCTGTGTTCTACAGAGGTTCACATCATGCACACACTCTCACACAGGGCATTCCTTAGCTCATGCTTTCAACTCTCCTTGAAATGCAACTTTCTCCCATTTTATAAGGCTCTTATTTGAGTATCTTACATAATTTTAAGACTTACTACACCTCAAGAATCACCTCCTTAGTGAAATCTCCTATGTTTCTATCCCTAACTCAGTTTTTCAGAGATCCCACAGCAGTTTGAAAAATTTGTTAGCACTGCCTGGGAAAGACAGCCAAGAGTGCATACTGCTCAGAGAGGTGACACAGAAGTCACAGAGGTGGGCAGGCAGACTCAAAGAATCATCGAGACAGAACATGAAGTACAGAGTATCATCTGTGTAGACCTGTTAACAAGAGGGTCTTCTGGCAGAAATGGCAGAGATAAGAGGCTAAAGCCCCAAAGCTAAGTAGGACTGCAAATGTATCCCCTCTCATAGGAAGGACAGAACTCTTTCAGTTTCTAAAACACTTTTTTCTTATTTTAACATCTCTGAGCTTGGGGTACATCTTCCCACTGATGGCAGGCTTCCTAGAACTGCTGTCTGACAAGTGGTAATTGTTACTCAGTTGTCATTGCCAACACATGAAAAAAGTTGGTTAAAGCTCTTTATATTGTCGTCATTTCACTGAAATCAAATGCATTATTGGTATAAGGAATGAGTTTAATGACGTTTGCTGTGCCTCCAAAAAAAAAAAAATAACATCATAAAACATCACCAAAGCAACAGTCATTGTGTATACAGAAGGAAATGACAGAGATAGTGCTCTAATTTGTTTTCAATGAAGCAGATGTTTATCATTGGAACAATAGTGTTGATTCCCTATTTTTGCCAACAAGCAAACATGTCTTTTAAAATGGGAAGATGACTTAAATGTAACTCTGCTAAGTTCTGTTCTGAGAAACTATTACACACTTAGACATGCATTTGAAGGCAGAAGAAATTATTAAATTCTTTAGGAGGAATGAAAAATGTAGGAAGTATGGAAAGGCTGTAGTGGAAAATTCCCACATTATGTAAAAATGTCATTATATTATTTCACAATTAAATTGGCACTGCTTTTTTTTTCATAGTGTTAGAGATTAAAATTAATAGTGACATAGATTAAATGAGTAATGGTGCAATTCTCTGAAGAACCTAGATAACTTGGTGTGAAGGGATGAGGAAAGGGGTGTAGAGAATCTTCTATTAATGATGTTTAAATCTTGAACTGACAATGGTTAAGCTGGAAATAACTACTGGAATTGGCAAGTTTAAGTTTACCACCATTAGAATTTAGGATCTAAAAAAAGTAAAGAATGTTACAGCCTTGTTCAACCACTCTTTATGGTAGTGACATGTAGAACCAGTACAGACAAATCTACTTCAAATCTATTTTTCATGTGAAAATAGACATAGGCGACCATAACATTTAATGCCTTGGTGGCTTTTAAAGTATTTAACATAGGGTATGCAACATATTGGAGTGTGTGCGCTACTGAATTTAATAAACACATTTTAAAAAGTGACATTCATTCATTTAATCACCAAACACACATTGAAATTTTACAATCTGCCAAGAAAATTGCTTGGTATTAAGAATGCTGAAAAAAAAAAAAGAAAAGAAAAAATAACCATAATTCCCTGCTCTTATTACATAACTACAAATAAACCCTGTAAATCACTGAAGACAAAACTGCCTTGACCTAAAAAGGAAACCTGAATTCTAGTATCATCCTGGACAGTTATTTACTAGATGCTCCAAAATTCTTTTTCTTAAAAGGGGGATAAAACAGTTTCTAAGAGAAGATTAAGGCCATCTCTTTATAGAAGTCTTCAAGATGAAAATGGACAACCATTAGAGTCTAAAAACTGGGAAAGAGTTTGGAGATGTAGTACAACCACATTATTTGTCAGGTGACTTGGTAAAGAGGAAAAGTCAAGATCCAAGGGACTGAGGTCAAGTCCTTCAGTTACAGCGACGGAAGCTCCAGAGCACTTGGCTCTATGCAATCGTACTCTGGTCTCCTTATTTTACTACAATACTTCTCAGTCACGAGAGTTTAGTCACTGAGATCTAAATATTAGATCAGAAGTCAAATGCTCTATAACTGTTCAACCAGTTACAGAATTCCCATACTTGAAAAGTTCCTCTGGTTATGACAATAGATCCCTACTCTAAGAACAAAGAGCAGCACACAGCATACTGTCACTGGCACACTCTGTGCCCCACTCTACAGTCCCATTGCCCTGGTCACATCTTATTCCCTGCAAAACAGCTACACATCAATAGTAACTCCTCAGAATTCATGCCTTCCGTCAGTGATCCCAGCCCCTCAAACCCAAACATTTTTTTCTTGCCAGTTACCAAATTTAACTTTCAGAAAATATTTTGAATTATCAGTGACTTAAGTTGTCTACTCAACATTTATTCTCTTTTTCTTTGCTAATAAAAATACTGAGTGTATGTGTGTGTGTGTGTGTGTGCACACGCACACACCCACGCACCTACATGCATGTGCAAAGGGGTGAAAAATCTGTTGGGAGGAAGGGAACAGTTCCAAGAAACTGATTTCCTGATAAAGAGACAGATGTGGCATACATTCTTGCCTCCCACCCTCTTGTTGCCCAGAACACAGATGTGATGGCTGAAACTACAGCAGCTGTATAACCAGGATTCAAGCACAAGGAAAGGTTCAAGAAAATAACATCAATGTGGACCCTGCCAAACAACAGCCATTGAATTAATGCCAGTGGCCTACTACTGATGTGAGAAAAACTTTCGAGACTCTGTAATTCTAAGTTCTCTATTATTGTAGCAAAAAAATAGTCAAATTTGAAAAGCAGAGAGTAGAATGGTGGTTGCTGGGGCCTGAGGGGATGGAAATGGGAATTGCTATTCAGTGGGTGTAATGTTTCAGTTACACAAGATGAGTAAGTTCTAGAGATCTGTTGCACAACATTGCACCTATGGTCAACAATTTTGTATTG